AAAGTGAGTTTTGAATTTAAATCTTGGAAAACCGGCGAGTACTCGTGCAGGAGTACATATAACGCGTACGTTCATTTTCAGTATAAAATACCGGGCGAAACTCCGTTATCTACGAGACACCGTGAACCAGCGACAGTCCGGTCTTCGTGAATAACAGAAAATTTCCATCTTCGGGGCACCTGTGCAGCCGTTTCGCGTGGATCGTGTTACGGAAACGATATACGACGGTTGCTCGCGTGGAAATCTGTGTGTACTTTACATATTTTTTTACATATACGCGACCACGGTCGGTCAGCCCGGCCGTCACAAGCGAAACAAAATGGTGGTGCATTATCGAGGAAGCCTTTGTAACAGATTTCTGTCAAAAGAGGAGTTAAGGGGGAGAGGTGGGGCGCTTTTAAATCCCCGGATTCCATTAAATAATGGCTCTTTTTACGAGTGTCGTTTTAATTAAATTGTTAATTAAAGTGTGCCAAGCACGATACACGGCACGTTCGGACCGGGGAATTAATTCTTGTATACAGGACTCGCATTAAAAATATTCCCGTGTCAAAGTCGCTGCTTTTTGCTCCTCGGTTTCCTCTGTCGGTATTTCCGGGGGCTACGCACACCCATCCCCTTCTCCGCGAAGGAATGACCGACGAAAAATATTTTTCCCGTCCAGCTTTTGAATGTAGAAAACACGAACAATTTGGAATCCCCCCCCTCGAACCGCCAGAAAGCAAAAATACCGTGTGCTGCACGCCCAGGCACCACCGTCGTCTGCCCGTAAATTATATTCCGGAATGTCATTACGCGTGCGAATACTTCAATAAAAGAGAGCCAATCCCCGGGGCCCTTTGAGCACGCGACAAAAAGTGTTCGTTGTTAGCCGCCGGACCGCGCCACGTTTACAAGACCTCGTTATTGCCATATTATTACAAAATAATGGACGGAAAGCGTTACATGCGACAGGGATGTGTGTGCCGCGATATTCGATATTTTGACGTGTTTCAGGACAAAAATCAGCAAGTGGTGGAAGGTATATACCACGTTAAATTTACAACAACCGAACAGAAAATGCTACCGAGTACTGGCTCGTTATTTCAATTTTGGAAGTGGGATTTAAATTTCCAGAAAGTTACTGAATTATATAAAATATAAATGTGTATTCTGATACTATTTAATATGGCGAAATTTTATTTTATCTCCGTTATTTCAATTACCCAAGTGGCGTTTAAATTTCCAGCTAACTATTATATTATGTATACAATGCAATTGTTTATTCTGGTATTATTTAATACGAGACATGTATAATATTGGATGAGACTGACGTTTTTATTACGAATAGTATAAATGTACCTACATTGAATAGCGTGAAATAATAAACTAAAAATGGAAGTATTTAAACACTTTATTCGCATAAGTGAAATAATAATGAAGACAAAAAATCAGTTTACAAATGCCAAGTTTCATTGTACCTTTTTCTTATTATATTGAGTTGGAGGGAAATAGATAACTGTTCAATATTCATGCTTTTAGCGTTGTTAGTACACTGTATAAAGTTTAGCCCTCATACTTTATAAAAAGAATTGACACAATTGCATATATTTTATAATTATATCGAGGACAACAAAATCCGTATGTTGAAACACCTATTTAATACCAACCGAATAATTAACGTATTTATTTATGTTTGTAATAAGGTGGAATGTAAAAGACATAATACATGTAGTAATGTTTTGCAAAAGTGTTCCGTTCTTTAAAGTTATGCGATTGATCATTTTCGGTAACAATGAAATTGCGTATTGCAGTTACATCGTTACCAGATAAATTGAAGGCACAGAAAATCTGACAGTTCGATGGAAAAATGAAAATATACAGCCGCGAATGCTTCCTAGAAGTGGAAACAGAAAGTAATGGACAGGTGCATTAGCTAATTGCATTCAGTGGGATGCACAGGCAAATAATATTAAAAAAAGGAAACCACAGTGAAAAATGATTTATTCGAGAATAGTAGAATTTCGACTTGTTATTGTGTAAGAAATATCATTGTTTCTATTGTACTGTCAGTTTTGAAGTATGACCGAATATTGGTAGATTATCGCTTGTTGTAATAACTTCTCTGTTTCCTTATTCTTTACTTTGTTAATACTATATTAGACAACTCGAAACAGCTATTATTATGTTTTCAATGAAACAGAAAAAGATAACCAAACTTTGCCTACTGTTACATTACCGTATTGTTCTATTTTTACAATAAGACAAAAAGTTCTAGAGGTGTTTTAAGTTTCTTTTCCTCAACAACATGTTGCATAATATTTTTTTACTCGTACTCTACGTCATGTGAGCAACATTTCAACGTAGTATTTTTAATCGAATATTTTACCACTGCGTTCACTGTTTACATAGATAAAACAATGACGTGCAACTTCGTGGAATATAGTAACTTCAGCCTATTCGACCTTATTTCGCTTTTTTATCACTTTTTCTTCTTGACGGAACAGAATAACCGAGACACGACTTCTGTCGGGAAGTTTTATTTTTAGTTCGCAGAGATTAACATCATAATAAACTCAAGCCATACCCCATGGTAATCCCAAAGGTTCAGAATTACGGAACATTTCACCTCAGAAAATAATGAATCCACTTTATGCGTTCTACATACTAGAGGGTGAAGAAGTAATATAAAATTCAAGATTGCAGAAGAAAATTTTAGTTGTTCAGCACTTTACGCTTCGTCCCCATTCATCTTCTCCCCGGTGATATACAATTTTTTTTAACGTCGGTGTCGTAAAACTCTATTTCGGTTTTCTCAAACTTTTAACTTAATTCTTTGCGTCCGGGAACAGGTAATGAAACCTTTATTAAAAGAAATATACTATATTTGAAACTGCACTTCTACACTCAACTCAAATTTTAATCTACACGTTCAACTTATTTTTTTATTATAATAACTAATAACTAACCTAATAATAAATAATACTACATTTAACCTCACGTTCTCTTTTATACTTCCTATTTATTTCTTCATATTGAATCACCACATTTCCACTGGCGTTAGTAGAACCGCTATAAGTATCCGATACTGGTCGCAACTATAAACATACAATGACCGAAATAATGATAGGTTCACTATCCACGTCGTCTGGTTTACTGTATTTATTTCTGTTTACGTTTTCGGAAACGTGCTGTGCCGTTTGTTATTGTTACACAAGAATGTGCCATACCCACTGCGTAAGCAGTCACTCGAATATCAAAAGGGTTAATGTAAAGACGTACTTTTTTAAGAAACATATTGAAAAGTATCGTGAACAGGATACGAAATAATCTTAGGTTCACGGTGAAATATTTAAAAAATACTTTCCTCAGTGCCATTTTTTGAACATTTTTGTATGGTAGGTACAAAGATTTATAATCTTCAAACATTTCGAAAAACAGTTTATATTATGATGATTATCTATTTAAAAAAGCCATCCTTCCTTATTGTTTACGATGCAATCATATCGAATGATCATCTTGTGGTTCGTACTTTATAACTGCATAAAATACCAACCACAAAGGAGAAGTCTACAATCTATTTCCTAAGACAGCACTTATAGGTCAAGAACAAAATGCAAATACAGTAGGGCCCCCTAGAACGCGGAACATACGTTCCGCTTTACACTAATTTTAAAAACAAATAACAAATTTGTTTTTCAATACCACAGAAAATAATATACATTTTATTTCATTTTAGAACAATAGAAATGTAATGTTTACTCCTTATATATATTACTAATTTTTAGTTATACGGTGGTCCTACTGTACACTAAATTACACCAAAGAAATTCTGCCTTACGACAAGATCTAACCTTTCACCCAAATTATACCATACTATACAAATTGATCAAATCTGCACCAAGAAGACAACACATTTGCTTCCACTAATTACCCAGTAGTCCATACAACGTCAACCTTATAATTAACACTAAACCTACCGAGTCCTCCAAAGAGGTAGAAATTAGTACGTCAAAACCGGTAGGTTCACTGTTAAAAAAAGAATTCGTTAAGGATTCATCATTCTTCGCACGCGTAGATCTCTCATTACCCGAACTCAAGGTCCAACAGTCGGTCCTTAAGGCGCCTGGGCTTATTTAAGAGCACGCCTGGCGCAGCAAAAAAAATCGACGGTTCCAGGGTGAAAAGCGTGTGGACCGTGGTCGGCCGGCAATTCGAAATTTTCCCCTCTTTCTGGTCGGGCAGCGGGGTAGTTTGTTCGTAACAACGCTCGTTACCGCGGTGCTCTCGTATTTCGTCCTTCTTTCCCGACTTTCATTCCCACCCCCTTCCCCATTTCCCGTCGGGCCGGCGCTGACCGCTAAAATTAAAGCGACCCGCTGTAATGAAGTTAAGGTTTCGGCACATTCCCGCATTTTCCGGCTCGAGTTATTGCGGCGTGAACGAGGAAAAAGGGACCAGGTGAAAGACCATCGCTACAAGGGGAAGGAATTCTACGCTCGAAACTTGCCCCTGTCTGTCGAACGCTGATGGTCTACACGTCACGATTTTATGGTGTCGATTCTCTATTTCCTTGGTAACCGGTATCGTTTCTGGAAATTAGCTCTTTCGAACGAAAATTCATAGAGGAATGTGATCGTCGTTAGTTTAGAAATTTTGAAATCTCGATTTGAACGTTCTGTTGCTTCATCTGTTTATACAGGGCGTCTTAAAATAGCTTCGACTTCTTGAAATAAAGGGTTCCTGGGATGATTTCAAATAACTTTGTTCTTAGCAAGAATATTATCCGAGGCTTTGTTAACGAGATATTAACGAGAAACACCGACCAATCAGAGTTGTTAACTAAAACTATGACCAGTTTATTAAAAAAGAAATAGTCAAGTACTTATTGATATCCCTAATATACACGATATTACGATGCATACAAATATACATACTATACAAATTCGCCTGTTTTCGATGATAACATTTGTCGTCTGTTCTTTTCACTGTAAACGCTAACACAGTGCCTGTTAAAATAGGATTCAGTGGTTCGAACTGGTGGACGAAACGTAAGCTGGTCGAAGGACCCAGCCAACCCACACAGAGACACCCAGTCCGAAGTTCCCGGGGAAGGATGCTCCGTGCCCTGGGAAGGTTAGTAACCTATAGTTAACCGTTGGTACGAACGCAGAATGACATCGGTCGGTTCCTAAATTCTCTTAAGCCCGCTGAGTGAAAAAGGGAAGGCGGAGGAAGTACTTTCCTGATTTGTTAATACCCACCGGATTTTATGGTGGATTTACCAGGTGATGTTCCTCCACTGATTTATTTTCGATCGCGTGGTAGCGGGTTAATGGATTTTTCGTACCGTACTACCTGCTATAATGAGATAAAATGCTTTTAATGTTCGTCCCTGGTACACTCGGCGAGGCACTGGGTATACGGATTTCACATTTGAAAATTTTCTCTCCGTGTATAACTTTTTATAACCGGTGATTTCCTTTTTTTTTTAGAGCGAATTCGCGTTTACTTTATTCTCCACGATTACAGATCCACCAGTAACTTTCCTTTAATTTATTTCGATAGATTTTATAACTCATCAGGATTCATGGGTAATTAAAGATTCATCGTTTCGTAATATATCGTATACTTGAATGGCGTTAACGTTTCGTAATATTATTTAATTAAATGTTTGTCAATCGTAAATATTTATGAGATTTTGCTGAAAATTCCTTTAATCCGATGTTTTATTTTACCAAACATTGATTTTAATTGATTTTTATTAGAACGGTTTTTCATCAATGTAGTGTATATAAATTTATTTCATCGACTTTTTATGAGAACATCAACCTATGTACAATTCGTATGTAAACAGTTTCTGCAGTAATCACGTTAATCAGTTTAATTAAATGCTCTCGTTTAGAGCTAAAAGATTTACTTTATAAATCTGAAAATATCTCTCGTGTTTACTAATCCATTTATTGATGTAAATCATTTATGGTTTATACAGCATATATTTACAATAACGTAGCAATTTAACAATTATGATGTGTTAACGTACTATATAATTGCGTATTTTATACGAAATTAGGTATATTCTTATTTCACAATTCTTCAGAAACTGGTAAATAATTCCTAATGCCAGAAGACTTTAGCTTGGGCAAGGATTGTAACATAGTTGCACGCATAGTTTCATATTCTGGACACTGTCAAATAGTACAATTTCAGCCCTGGAATTTTGCCCCACTGCGTGAGATACCATTCATAATTGAATTCACTCTTGCTAGGAAAGCATTCAAGCTAGAGTGATTGGAGTTATCTCTATTAACGCGTGAATATAATTAAATTCCTTGACATAATAATTTCTGGCCGTGACATGATCTTTGTTCACAGACTAGTACTTAATATAATTACCTGACATTTCGTATACCCGTATTTTCTTTATTAAAAGTTCCATCTGGAAACAAAAATAGCAAAAATTTTATTTTATTTTTCACATGTAGATATGTATACATACATCATAGACGCATAAATATTGGCAGTCTTTTCATAGAAATACCTGTTGACAATTTTACTCGAATATCTCCCATCTCGCGAAGGCCTTCTTCCACTACACTTTGTAATCGTTATGGCTACGATTGTTTACCTGTGTTTAAAAACTTAAGAATACAAAGTTTCTTAAATGCATTTAGAACTCAGTTAGATTCTACAAAAATAATATTGTGTTACAAATGCATAAAATTCACAGCTTACTGGTCGTTGTTAAGATTGTTCACATAGATATGAAAAGTGGACACTTTCGTACGTATATTAAAGGAAAGAATAAAAAAAATTGACTATACTCGACTATATATCGAAAAAGTCATTGCGCGATACGTAGTCGCTGGAAGGGTTTCGAACGCAATCGATGGTGGCTCGAATTGGAGCAGAAATCGCAAATACAGGGTGTCCCAAAATAGGTGTCAGGCCTTGAATGGGGTGATTCCTGGTTCGATTTAAAACAACTTTTTCCTTAGTGAAAAAATTCTCCGAGGTTATATTAAGAAGATATTAACGAAAAACCCCGACCAATCAGAGCGCGAGTCTGCCGCCTGAGCTATCGCGGTAGCGCGTAACCAACCGCAGGAGTTCAGGCGGCAGACTCACGCTCTGATTGGTCAGGGTTTTTCTTTAATATCTCCTTAACATAACTTCGCAGAACTTTTTGACTAAGGAAAAAGTTGTTTCAAATCGAACCAGGAATCACCCACTTCAAGGACTCAGAATTATTTCGGGACACCCTGTATAAGACAGATTCATAAGTCACCGTGGTGGACACAGTCGACGGCGTGTATATGCCGATGCATTGCACCGTGTCCCAGAGGGAGGAGATCGATGCCCGGCGGCCAGCCTCTCAAGAGCTCGCAGTTAGCGAGGGGGGCGTAATTTCGCCGGGGGAACGGGCGCGTCGTTTTTCGCGGCGAATCGCATTCGTCGAGCGTCGTTTTGCGCTTGTTCCATTTTACGTCCGGCCTGACCCGGCCCGAACGCGTGCGACTTGAAAGGCCACAGGCAACTCCTCTTTCTCCGCTGGGATCTAATAACTCTGCATTTTCTCAGCGCGACGGCCACGCTGAGCCGCGAGGAGGAATAAAGCTGGGTGTCCACTTGAGAGTGAAACTATTGCGCGTTGCTCTTGAGTGTATTCCTTACAAGTGGACATCGCCGAAAAGAGAACTGTCGGAGAGTCGACTTATCGTATCTCGATCTTAAATGGATGCAATGCCGTACTACTGTCCAACGGTCGTTCTGCTATGACAAAACAGTTTCGTACTCCTGAGAGAATTGTGGCGCGGGAAACATGATGTCCGGGAAGAAAAATTGGTGTAGGAACGGAATTAATGATTTAATAAGTGTATACGAAGAAAAATCCATACTATGGAACGCAAACGACACAGAAATAGAAATAAAGTATGTACTTAATTATTAATAATTAGTAGTATTAATTTATATTATCAACTAATATCATTCGAAATTTCTTTGCGTTCGAAACCCTTCCAGCAACTGATCTCTCTTCCGTTGATTTCGATTGTTCGCTCCTGTGTGGTAATTGTTAATAAGCTAAGTAAGAGAAATTTTAATTAATAATAATGTCTACTATTTCTTAGTTCTTCTCTACGCTGACTCAATGGCTTCATTTTTCTTCATAATATTGTACGTAATAGTACGAGTAGAAAGTTTTTCCACGTCCTTAATCACAGTCTGACTTCACGCTTAGTTCAAAACAAACTGCAGAACAGACAAATACGGACGAATCTCAAATGGATACGATTTTGAGATTTCGGTTTGATAGTATGACCTCGGTGAGCATTCTAGGTACTACCTGAGAGCAAAAATTCTCGAAGTTAGTCTCAAATGGATACGCAATGTGATAGTATTCTTGAAGCTGACTCACGCGAGATACTCTCAAATGGACACCTAGCTTAAAGCTCCCGACGTGTCGGTCCGGCCAAGCAAACCGACTTTCCGATTCAGCTCGGTTGGACGAGATTCGTCGAGTGCGTTCTCGGCTCGCGGGTTCACTCCAACGTCGTTAAATAAACACCTGGAACTTCTTTACGCGGTCGCGATCACATTTTCCCCTCGATGACCGCTGGCGGGAACGTGGATTTACGAGTCGCGAAACGTTTCAGGGATAGTGGATAGTGTTTTCGCTTGATTTATTCGATTTGCAGTCGTTCGACTGTACCCTGTTGTAAGAAGAGAGAAGGTGGATCGTAGAACTTATGGAATATATTATTCGAATACTTGGATGGGCTTTAATCGTTGAATACCTCGAGGAAGAACTTGTATGCACGTGATAGAAATGCAAACTTAAACATTCAATCGTTGACTCTACATTTGACAAGTAGAAAAGAAAAAAAAGTATTATACATACGTAGAAAATTGCTCGGTACAATATAGCATTCCATGTCTGAAATAATAGAGACATAAGTGTCCGGATAAAAGAATTTTCGAATAATAAAGCACATTTCTGCCATTAAACTACATTTATTCAAATAAAGATAAAGAAAATTTACGGTCTGTTTAAGTATTTCTGGATTCGATATTATTTTGGCTGCTAGATTACAGAAATTTTGAAACAGAAATGATTATCAGCAGAATTGGATCGTTTTGAAGAAAATATGCAGAGAATCCTCGTTGAGTGCTCGAGGGTCGGTCCGCGACGAAGCATTCACGCGGTAGGTGAAAAGTCGTGAACACTCCATGTTTTTTGCACGAATCCCGAGCCCCAGCAACAAAAACAGGAGGGGGGGGGGGGTTATCAAAGTATGTAGTATATCAAGTATCAAGTATATACCAGTCAAATGATTGGTTCCACAGCCCCCTTCCCTAATGGGATGACATTTGAACACTCAGTGCCATGGAACCTTCGAACACTCAACGAGGATTCTCTGTACATTATATGTAAGCAATGCATATTTGCAACAGTAGAGGGTTTCTGTTGCTGTCGGGCACTCTATTCGAATATCAGAATGTTCGGATAGTAGAACGTTCAAATATTAAGGCATTCGGATAATGGGTGTATGGTGTACGGATACAGTATGCTCTACTTTATTTAGAAAACGGTGATTTTAAGAAAAGGTAGATTTGTATAGTTTGTCATGTCACTAGTGGTACAACCGGAAAGGGGGTGAAACTAAGTGAAAGAGTAAGTAAAAAATATAGAAGATTTTTTTATTTGAGACTTTGTTTTCGAGAAAATCGGCTTTGAAAATCTGCTGGATGGACGTGCAATTGAATCAAGGACTTAAACCGGTATGATTTTGATACTGTAGGCATCGGCATGTGCCTTTGCTGTCCCGACGGTGGCTTTGTTAGTAACCGGCACGTGGACACGTGGAGACGTAACCATTGTGTCAGATATCGTCGTTGTGCCACCGAGTCGTCGTTGCAACGCGGGCCGCCGACATAGGCATGAAAGACGGATACCGCTTCCGTGTGATCGACATCTACCGTCGATGACGATTCACCGAACGCGGAGGTCCTGTGTGAGAGTGTGTGTGTGTGTGTGTGTGTGTGAACGAATGCCATAGTATATAAGAAAGACGACAGAAGCGGGGAGGACTCTTGTTTTGTACCGACTCCCGTCGAAGTCAGATCGACTCAATAAA